GCAGAGCACCTGCTTGCTGTGGCCCTAGCTGAGACCCATGCATTCTGGGGACTGATGGCCCCAGGCACTGTGCCATTCCCTCCGTAGCAGCCATGTGGGAGGAGGAGCCGCCATGTAAGCCAGGAATGTGCCCTGTGTGTTTGACATGGTACCAGGGGTGTCATGAGGAAACCGGGGACAGAAGAACTCAAGTGCCTGTTTGGCAGGTGCTGCTGAGCTGTGCCTCTTGGGAGCAGGCAGCCACAGGTGAGCTGGGCAGACGGAGCAGGCCCAGGGGCCCTCTGCACGGGCCTCACAGCCCACAGGAAAGGCAGGCCGTGCACTGGAGGAATGGGGAGGCTGACAGTGTCTCTGGCAGGTGGCTGTGAGCTCAGACCCCTGAGTGCTGCAGGTCTCTGACTTGAGAACCGGGGTCTCGGCTTCTAAGGAAGCCATGTGTCAGGAAAGCCTGGTGTCGAAGAACCAGCTGCTGTAGGCAGAGGGGCCAGGCAGGCAGATCCAGGGCCACGCAGGGTGCCATTTACTGGGGACTTTCTGACCAGCGTGGTCAGGTGGTGGACCTCACAGGTTGGGCCAGCGGGAGAGGGCTTTGGTGTGGTCAGGACAAAGGTGCTTTTCGCTCAAACTGCAGTGGGCCTGGACAGTGCGGGCAATGTGAAAGGTGTGTGCACTTCACGGTGCTGTCCTGCGGAGCCCCTGTGTGGCTCCAGTCGTTCCGTCTGTCTCTAGGGTGCTGAGGACTGTGCACGTGGACAGGCCAGAGCTCTCATGCATCATGGTGACCGTGTCTCAGGACAGCTGTGGTCAGCCCCTGCAGGGTCCCTACGCTCCCGGACCAGGGCACACTCACCCAGCCTGGCATGTGAACATGTGGGTGTGTATTGGAGGTCACCTCTGGTCCGTGCAGACCACCCTGGCTGCTGGGGGAGGGCCATCAGGGTGGACAGCACGTACCTTCAAGCCTGATGGGGAGAAGGGCTGGTGTGTGGTTTGAGGGAGGAGGAGGAGCAGGTGGGCTCTGGGCGTCCGGCTGGACTCCCACTGTGCATAGAGCAGGACAGCAGGGACATGGGGGCACACGTGTCTGTATCAGCACTGCTGCTGTCCCATTGGGCCCCAGTCAGGGTCCCCCAGAACCCAGGCCTCCTGCACACCCCCTCCAGCTCCTTGAACTCCCCCATGCCATGGCCATGGCTGGCTGGTCCGCCACCAAGCCCAGGGCCCGAGGTAGGGAAGCACACTGTGCTCCGAGTGTGCCAGTCTCTTCTGAATTTTCTGTCGCCGCCTTCCTTGTTTGTCCATGTCCTTAGCAGCTCCTGGTGTCCGCCCCGTCACCTGAGCCCTGACCCCTCTGTGCTCCGCTCTTGGTGCACCTTCCTGCTCGCCCTGTACCTGGCAGTGTGCCGGGTGCTGCGCTCACCTCACGTCCCATTCTGCTCCGACTGGGAGTCACGTCCACGAGAGGCTGTGTGCACCCTGCCTGCGCCGTCTGCGGCTTGGGCAGGCGATCGCCAGGGCCAACTGGGCCGTGTGCCTGGGCATCTGTGGAGCGCTCCAGTCGAGCGTTTGGAGACCCTCCACGGGGTCTCCACGCGGACAGCACTGAGAGCAGAACAGGAACCAGGATGACGTGGTTCCCTGGGCAGGCCTGGCTAGTGCTGGTGGCAGGCTTTGCCTTCGCCGGACGCCCCATGGGACTCTGCGCTCTTCCTGGTTTTCTTTTCTACACTGAACAGTGGTTCTGGCCCTCCACCTGTGGGTTTGGAGTGAGAATCACACAGAGGAGCCCAGGTTCGGTCCTCTCTGCGAGTTTGCATTTTACAGCTATTTAAAGGAGACCCCTGAGGGCCGTACAGAAAATGTGAAACTGACTCAACCACCACTTTCCGCGAGGGAAGAAGTGTGGGGATCGTGGTCATTTAACCAGGCGTACCACTCGTCTCAAGTTCTTTTAAAAATCTATAGATCTTGGTGGCTCCAGGGTAGCCTTTCCCACCAGCGTGGTGGAGGGTATTCCAGGCCCGAGGCACCCTTAGCCCCAGTGAGCACCCACAGTGTCTTTTCTCTGCCAAGGGACACCCCAGCTCCCCTCTGCAGGTGAGAGTTGGAGCAGGAGGTGACTGCACAGCTGTTGTTCTGCAGGTGCAAAGGACAGTGGAGCACGGTCCCCGCTGGCCTGGAGACGAGAGGGCTGCCTGCTGAGCCGGGGGTGGGAGGGGGAGCTCTCCACCAGCCTCGGGCTCCGTCTTCCTGTGGCGTCTACTGAAAGGCGCCCAGTTCAACACAAGGTGCCTCTGCGTTGCACCTTGGCCTGGGACTTGCACAGCACACGTGGCCTTTGGGGGTCCCACCTGGGTCCCTGCCTTCGGTTCAGACTGTTCTGGTTATTTGGACTTTTTCTTTTTTCACGTGAACATGAAAACCTGCTCACTGCCCCATTAAAGAGGTCCAGTGCCACTGGGCCCGAGGGAAGGGGCAGGAGGCTCAGGCCTCCTGAAGCCCTTGGCCTCCTGCTGTGGGCGGACCTCCCCTGGCCCGGTGCATCCCATCCTGAATACGGCTGGAAGTGGAGCCTTCCCTTCACCCCTTCTGCCTCTGGGCTCTCGGTGAGGCTTTGACCCTGCGCGCCTGTGGAGGCCGTTCAGGGGGCAGCGTGCGCTGAGCCAGGCGGGCTCTGCTCTGGGCCCTGACCTTCTGCCAGCGCTGGCATCTGCAGGTGCGGGACCGGAGGTCCCAGCCTCTACGCCTGCCGGCCTGCTGTGTGGCCACCTTCCACTGTGACGCTGTCCCTGGTCCTTTTCAGGACTTAGATGTGAGAGTAGGAGACACGGCGTGTGTAAGGGCCAGGAGACTGCACTGGGGCACCCTTCCTGCTGGGACCTGCCCTGTCCTCATCCCCAGGGTCTGTCTGTCTTCCTGCCTGAGGGTGGCCTTCCCACTGCCCATCTTGATCGACCGACTAGTGAGCCTCTGTTTCTGAGTGAGTGTGGCTCTGCGGTAGTGAGGGTGCCTGCCGTGAGGTTTAGGCGTCTGCCGAGTCCCGCCTGAGACCCGCCTGACCCAGGTGCCGCTGCTGTCACTACAGACCCCTGCCATGCTTGGTCACTCTCCCTGCTCTGCCTGTGAGGGGAGGGGCGCTGCCTCCTGCGCTGCTGAGGCCCGCTGGCCCTGTGACTCCTCCTGCTGAGGGCCTCCTGCTGCCCCCTTCAGAGTTCCAGTGGCAGCACAGGTGGCCTGTCCCCTCTAGGTGGGGTGGGGAGTGGCAGGGCCCGGCCTGTTGCCGCCTACAGGACAGAAGCAGCCCCACTGCCAGTCCGACCCCCAGCAGGCCCTGGGTCCTCTTTCCGCCTGGGGCCGGGTTTGGGGGGCTGGAGCAGAGGGCTGTCCTCTTGGGGCCTGCCCTTTCCTGGCCCTTTGGCCAGGAACCTGTTGTGCGAGGGCTCCTGTGTGAGTTTGTGCTGTTGGTGTTCCGGGCTTCTAGGGCCCCAGCTCCTCGTCGGGGGACTCGGGCTGCTCTCCGTGTGCCCTGCTTGGCTGGCCTCCTCTTTGCCTTTCGGTGACCTTGTGTCTGTTTTAAACCCAGGGCAGGGCTCTGGGTGGGCATGGTGGAGGGAGGGGCACGTCTGCTCCCTCTTCCTGTGGGTATCCCCCTGCCTTGGCACAGCATTTCAGCAGGCAGGGGGGGCTGTGGACTGGCTCCTTTGCTGCCCTGAGGTCAAGCAGGGTGCCCAGGGTGCCTGGTGCTCCCCTTGACCTGCAGCTGCGCCAGGCCACGGCTCTGTTCCATTGGCCCGCGCCGACCTCTCGCCCAGCTGGGCTGGGCCCTGGGTCACATCCCATCTCTCCCAGCCGCCCGTCCCAGCCGAGAAGCCCCAATTCCCCGCTTGCTGAGGACACCAGTCCTTCCAGCCACACTTCTGACCTCCCGTCTGAGACTACGCTGAGGCACACGTGTTGACTTTCCATCATGGAAACATCAAGACTAGATGCAGCCGTGTGCTGCTGAGTCCCCGGTGGCTGCGTCTGCCTGGCTGAGTTCTCTGGTGTCCGGCGCCCTCTGCCTGGGGTGCTCAGCGTGTCTTGAGGTGGTGATGACACAAGTCCGTGCCTCCAGACCCTGCAGAGAGCTCTGCAGCACAGGCGTCCTCACAGAGACCGGGTAGCTGCACAGCGCGCTCACCGGGAATGCAGTGAGATTCAGGACACTCACAGGTGACCGTCGCCCGAGGACCCACATCCTACATACAGGACGCATGATACCCCCACGCCTTGGCCCACAAGCCACCATGCTCTGAAGCAGTGGATGTGCCTTCTTATATTTATAATGTGCATTTTGTTGGCACAAAAGCAACATCGCTACGGAATCTCACGCCCTGTCCTGGTGCAGTGTGATGAGGTTCTTTGTCACCAACGGTCAGCACAGTCATGAAGGTTGTCAGAGATGCTGGGCGGAGACTGTGCAGAGTGGCGAGGGACGGGCAGCCACAGCACCTGTCCTCAGCGAGTCCTGGGTCTCTCCTGGGAATCCAGCCGTGGTCACCTGAGGCTGGTTGGTTACCTGGAGACTCGCGGGTCTGTCCAGCTGCTTCGTAGGGCAGTACTGGGTGAAGCTTGGCCGGTGGATCTCAAATGTGCCTTTGCTTCATTCCAAGCCTCACATCGACCCAGGTGAAAACTGGACAGTCCCTGCTGGGGGGACTCATTGAGTTGTGTGGTCAGCAGTGTGGTCACCGGGCTTCGCCCCAGGGTGGGTTACCCCTGGTTCCCAGCTTTTCATGCCCTGCACTGGCCAAGTGGAGTGTGAGGTCCTGGCCCCCGGCTGTGACCCCGGTTCTGCCCTCCGCTGTGCTCCTCTCAGGGGTCCCAGCTGGGGTCCTTGGTGCTCTGGTGCTGCGAGGAGGTGCTGGAGCCCCGGCCAGGCCTGTGCCAGGGCAGGGCCATGACCACTGCCTCCACTCCGTGACAGTCACACTAAGCCTTCTTTTCTTGCCTTCTTGCAGACAGAAACAGTCTCCGCCAGTCAAGAAGCTCTCAAAAGCACTTTGCCATGGACCTAGAAGATGAAGAGAACATGAGTAAGACCTGGGCCCGCCGCGCAGTGCCCGGCAGATCGCTTCCGTCCGACTCAGGGTCTGCCCACCTGATCGGCACGACCACCCGGGCACGCCGATGTGGGTCTTGGCGGTGGCGCGCTCTTCCGTATCTCTGTGGTGTCCATGGGGGTCTTTCCCTCCAGTCCCCTGGGCAGGTTTCACTCCTTTCTCGTCACTAGCTGTCATTTTGGGGGAAATGTGCCTCCAGGTGTACAGCCCGTAAGTCTACACGGCTTGTGAGGGTGTGCCACAGCGTGGTCCTGGGCACTCAGAGATGTCCCCTGGACTGACCTGGGTGCCTGGCTGCTGGGCACGCCGGGACACGGTCAGCTCCTGCCTCTGGGAGGATCTCGCCATCTCCAGGCTCCAGTGACCTCCCGGGGTCTGGGAATCGGGGGCAGCACTTCTAGACCTCTCCTTTGCACACCGTTCTTTGGGAGGTTCTTGGGCCACCAGCGCCTCAGGCTCCTTCTGTCACACACTGTCACAGGTGTGGAGAGTGCTGCTCCATCCCAGGGTTGAAGGCAGGAGCGTGTGCAGGCCGCCAGGGGACGAGGTCGTGTTTCTAGCTGACAGACCTAGGTGCCCACAGACGGACGTGCCCGGCTGACAGACCTAGGTGCCCACAGACATACGGGCCCGGCTGACAGACATAGGTGCCCACAGACGTATGTGCCCGGATGACAGACCTAGGTGCGCACAGACGAATGTGCTCGGCTGACAGACATAGGTGCCCACAGACGTACGTGCCCACAGACGTACGTGCCCAGCTGACAGACATATGTGCCCACAGACGGACGTGCCCGGCTGACAGACCTAGGTGCCCACAGACGAACGTGCCCGGCTGACAGACGTAGGTGCCCACAGATGAACGTGCCCAGCTGACAGACCTAGGTGCCCACAGACGTACGTGCCCGGCTGACAGACGTACGTTCCCACAGACAAACGTGCCCGGCTGACAGACCTAGGTGCCCACAGACGTATGTGCCTGGCTGACAGACATACACGCCCGGCTGACAGACGTAGGTGCCCGGCTGACAGACATACGTGCCCGGCTGTCAGACGTAGATGCCCGGCTGACAGACCTACGTGCTTAGCTGACAGACCAACATGCCCAGCTGACAGATGTACATGCCCACAGATGTACGGGCCCGGCTGACAGACGTACGTGCCTATAGACGTATGGGCCCGGCTGACAGTCGTACATGCCCACAGACGAACGTGCCTGGCTGACAGACATATGTGCCCACAGACGTACGGGCCTGGCTGACAGACGTACGTGCCCACAGACGGACGTGCCCGGCTGACAGACCTACGTGCTTAGCTGACAGACGTACGTACTTAGCTAACAGACGTACGCTGACGTACATACGTGCATGGCTGACAGACAGATGTGCCCGGCTGACGGACCTACATGTCCGGCTGATGGACGTACTGCCCAGATGAGAGACGTACCTGCCCACCTGACAGACGGACGTGCCCGGCTGACGGATGTACCTGCCCAGCTGACAGACGTACGTGCCCGGCTGACAGACGTACGTTCCCACAGACAAAC